ATATAATCAATCGAATGTTCGAAGTTTGATGATCGGAAGATTTCGGAGTTCATGTCCTAGCAATACTACATAATAATAATAATCTTTTACTTTTCTAGTTTAACGATTTCACATAATTAATATATAGTTAATATATAATTAAGAATAAACCTTTTTGCTATATAAAGATGTTACAGCATACCCTTTAAATTTATAATTTACATACGACATTGATGAAAGATTCAGCAAAAAACATTATGAGTGAATATAGAAACGTATTATTAATTGGTCGTACAGGTCAAGGCAAGTCTTCCTTAGCCAATCTAATAGTAAATGATGAGAAAATTTTTGAAGAATGGGGCAAATTCGACGAAGTTTTTAAAAAGGGTAATGGAACTCTTAGTCAAACTAAAAAGACTCAATCGAAAAAAATTACTTTAAAGATAGATGCAGGTGGAGAAATAAAAGATGTAAAATATCAAATCATTGACACTGTAGGATTTGATGACACAATATTGAGCAAAAGAGAAGTGCTAATTGAAGTAGCTAAAGCATGTAAAAAGGTTAAGAAAGGGATAAATCAAATTTTATTTGTATGTGGAGAAAAATTAACACCACAAGAAATTGATGCTTATAATATATTAAGAAGAGTTCTTTTTGATGAGAAACTTGATAAAGACATTACTAAATATATTACAATTATTCGAACGAAATTTGATAATTTTGACGATGAAGATTCATGTAAGTGTGACGTTCAATCATTGATTGAAAATGAAAGTAGTGCAATTGTCGAAATGATTCAATCATGCGGTGAAAGAGTTGTTCACATAAATAATCCGCCAATAAATGTGAAAGGAAGGGAAGTACAAGATTTAATTAACATCAATAAGAAAATCTGTAAGAGTGCTAGAAAAAGGGTAATAGATCATTTAGCGACTTGTGAAGATGTTTACAAACCAGGGAGTTTGGATGAGATAAACGAAAGAATTAGCGGCTTATTAAATGAAAACAAGGAGTTGCAAAAACAATTAGAAGAATTGCAAAAAGAGTACAATATGTTGCAAGAACAATTAAATAAATTCCGTGATACAGAGGAATGTTCAAAGGAAATGAGTTTTTCTCAAGAGTTTTATAATGAATTAGAGATAAGAAAGGAAGAAAATGAGTTAAAAAAGAAAATGGATGAAATGATGAAGAAAATAGATGAAATAAAAAATTCAATACACGGAAATGAGAATTCTATAATAGGTCTTTTTGCTGCCATTGGGAGAGGTTTGGACATTCTGACTGAAATGGTGATAGGATTAGCAGGAAAGGCATTAGAAAGTAACAGATGTCCAATCTTGTAAATATCCAAAAAAAATCAATTTCTTTTTCATTCCAACCGAGACTATAAAATCTCGTCGTATATTTTTAATCATTGGATGCTTAGGGAATGAATATTTGCCTACAGATTATTATGTAGTATTGCTAGGACATGAACTCCGAAATCTTCCGATCATCAAACTTCGAACATTCGATTGATTATAT